GTAGTAGAACTCCTACATCTTTGAAGGATAGAAGCTTGCACAGAAGTTAGGAGATGCAGAAATACTCTGCTAGGTATTGATTTAAGCATGACTTTCTCAAACAAATTACAAAAGCTGACATTATCGCTAGATGCCTTGGTTGAAAACTTCTCTTATCTCCAGCTACAGTCTCCTTTGCATCCCAGAGGCTATCACAGACAACAGTACTTGGCAGTACATCAAAGCCCAGCATGCAGTTAAATGGGATTTGCTCCTCTCAAGTTCAATAATGCTGCCTTGTTCGTCTTACTGCAACTTGCTGAAGAAAAAAGATGCAAGGTCACACTTAAATAATGCTCGCTTCCTGCTCTCAGCATATTTACACTGCAGATACACAGCATTAAAGAGCCTCCCTGTAAGTCTCTGCACATGAGGACAGTGAGCAAGGGGAGTTCACAGTCACCAAAAGGCCTTGCTTTGTCATGCACTGTTTAAAAAAACAGAGAAAGCAAAAATGGATTCTGCCCCTCAGTGCTTGCAATCTAGGCAGAGGTTATGCAGGAAATGTGTGAATCCTTCAGAAAAATATCAGTTTGTTCCATGATTAACAGACGGATGCCAAAGCACAATGTGATCTCTCTGAAGGACTAAACAGAACACTGGCAAGGGGCCCTTCAGAACCCTGCTACATCTCAGCTACTGCAAGCAGAACCCAATGTCCTGCTTTAGTGTCATATGGTATCTAAAGCAGCCATCCCACGAAGCAGAAAAATGTGTCACAGCAAGCTTTAGACTACAGTTGCAGTTATTCCATACAGAGATAAAGATTATAAGCTCACATTTTCCTTTAAAAATAGACGGAAGTTAAAAATAAATTAATTTTTTTAAAATCCAAATCATAAACCTACCTCCAGAGTAGAGACTTGAGGCACATGCGTGAGGATACAGGCGTGGGTAACACTTAAAAAGGCATGAGGTCACACCATAAACGAGAGGCAAAGAAAAGCACAGCATCCTCCTGTAACCTGTAGCAGTTCACTCCCTATGTCTGCAGGTGCACGTGCAAACAATCACACTGCTAACATGCATTTATCTATTTGTGTATTAAGACCATGCATATCTCCCAGGTACACTTTTCAGCAGAAGTAAGAATTACTGACTAGCATCTCTGTAAAGCACTTGATAAGCTGAACTTAAACACCAGGATGTGAGCCAGGGCTCCCAATGCTCTGCCCCATTACTGAGCACAGCTTCTTTTAAAAACAGACTAAATGTGTTAATAACAAAATTTAAGTGCCAGAAATAAGAGACATGGGTCCTCAACTCATATTTAAAAACAAATTCTTACCTTACATTTGAAAAAACTGATTAGCATCTTTGTTTGCACGCCTGTTTTAACCGCACATTTATTTTACTTGGCACATACCAATTCTCAGGACCTGGGATAAAACTGAACATTCAATTCACATTAGATTTTTATTTAAGGACAAAACTAGGCCATCTACATCACTTCTAAATACCACGTTTGTTTAACAACCTTTACATCTATAAAAGAATTTGGGGAAGGAACCAAAAGGAGCCACTGTCTCATTTGCTACTGTTTCCATTTAATGGAATCCCCAGAAACAATCCTTGCTTTCAGCACACCAGAGTGTTTTGATAGCTACACTAATACCATCAATGCAGCCGTACAATGGCTTAATTAGTCAGGAAAAGGAGGGGTTGCTTCTCATTTCCAGAAGGTCCTTAAGATTAAAAAAAGAACGCAGAGCACCACGGAGATGCCTGCATCTCCTGCCGCTTGGCTTTTCTGTGCCTGTTTCATGTAAGAGGTGAATTTCCTGTAAAAAGAAGTGCTTCTGTCAATGACAGAAAACCGAAAGAATAAAATATCTGCAGCCATGTAAGCCATCTCCCCAGGATGCCTGCTGGGAGAAACGCTCTGCTCCAGTGGCTGGATTGAAGCCTCCTTCTCTTCCCTTAATGCCTCAGCATTTCACATTCACCATCAAAAGGCACAGGAATGAGCTGAGCACACGAAGAACGGCAATGCAAAAGGCAGAAAGTGGTACACATTTCATAACAAATAGCTGCACACGGCGTAGGGGCCCTAAGATTATCCAAAGCGACTGAGATCAAAAAGCTGCAAAGCTGTATGACAAAAGCAGACCTCGGGCTCTTCAAATGAAAGCAGTTGTGTGACTGTGACTGACAGGCTTACAATCAGGACTTCACGTCTCTTATAAAACAATTATTCGGCCACATCCATTTTATATTACATTAGGCAGGGAAGGAAGTAAAGAGCTTTCAGCTTTGAAATCTAATTATTAATTCCTCACTATCTGTAAGAATTAAATGAGGCTCTGATGAAAATCTGCAGAAAGAGGCCCTGACAAGATAAGCAAAGGTGCAGATGTGGCAAGCGATCTTGGAAGCCCATCTTGACGTGTGAAATAATAGGGAAACTCTCAACCCAGATAGAATTCCCAAGAATTGCTTCCTGATCCTAATTTCCTTATAAATAACCTTGTTATCACCAAAAGCAAGTCTCTTAACAAGCACAAACAACACATCAGGTCACAATCCTGTACCCTGCTCCCACTGAGGGGCTGGAGCTTGGATTCCCTTTGTGCTTCTCAGGCTCTCTCCCACCAGCTTGGCTTTAAGCACTGCCCCAGCACTGTATGGGCACATTTGCTTTTGTTGCACAGAAGCAGGCAGTATGAACATTTGTTCTTCCTCTACTCTTCAGACAATACCATTTCCTCCAACAAGCACCACGAGCTCCAGTTAGGAGCACGTGAAGGACTAACATGTAAGTGTAAATGCTGCTGTCCTCTGCTGTTCTCCTGAGTCTCTTATTTTCATCCCAACATAACATCCAAGGACTTCAAACAGAGTTCCTTAACTACCAAAAAAAGGAAGACCTCATTGCACACAGAGGAGAAATAAACGATGAGTAAACTCTCTAAATACGTGAAAGGATGTGAACCCAAATAGTAGCACTAATTGCCATACTGGGAGCCTTGATGCTGCCCTGCTGCAGCCTTGTCCCAAACCAATCTCGAGGAAATGCATGGCTCTGGCTGTCACACAATTCCTGCAGAGGCAAACACACCGAACTCTGCTGCATGCAAGCACTGAGGTCAGTCAGACCTGCGGGACATTAACCAGATGCTGGAAATGCAGAGTGAGGCTGCATAAGGAAAATGCAACTCCAATACCACCTGCAAGCAAGTAAATGTTTTCTCTGTATGTATGGGAAAATAAAGTCATCTTTAAGTCCTTCACAAGATCACAAGCAAAGGGCTCTGAAACCAGCACGTCAGCCCAGTGGCTGCAGGCTGCTGAGAAAAACCAACCTGCTCCCAGAGTTCAGAACCCTACCAACCCCTGTGCCCTCCTGCCACCAACTGCAGCCACTCTTGAGAGAGCTTCTCAGCTGTCTCTCTAAAGGCTAAGATTTCAAAACCCACTAACAATAACAGTTTACATGATGAAAAAAATAATGCACGAGAGCTAAAGCTCAAACATCAGAGTGATGCTGGACTGCTCTATTTTGATGACAATTTCTATGAGAATTGTGTTACTATTAGTGTTTGCACTGTGGTTGAGCACGTCATAGGCAATGCACCACAAACAAAAATAAATGAGCACAGCACGTCTCTACAGTGGCATGCTACCTTAACCAGCCATATTAAGACACACACAGATACAATAAACTTGTTTTCCAGATAAGAGCTTTATTATCATGGAAATACTGGAATTTTCTAACTAAAAACTGCATTTTACCTGCTGATTTGCCAACCAGAAATGCTCTTCAGTCTCACAGATACTTGCCCATCTGGTTCTGAGGGTTCACAATCAAGTTCTCACAGCTTAGCAAGTAACTGCACATCTGCTGACCACACGTGCTCACCCAGCACGGAGAAAAGGCAAGAGTAAAACATATATATTTAAACCTCATGGAAATAGGTTTGAAGTAAGGCTTTTTGATATTTACTTTTGCAAAAGACTTCAAGCTTACAGGTATGGAGGTACAACAGATTGGGTGATTCTGGTCTCTGAATGTTACTGCACAGGACTACAACATGAGCAAGGTTGAACTACTCCAGACTGCAGCACGACAGAAACACCCCCCAGTGCTTCATAGGCTGCTGTGAACTCCTCTTGGAAGAGTCTGGCAGTGCCTGCAGGGTGCACAGCAAGCAACTATGCAGGTGAAAAAGGTCACTGTCCTTAGCTTTGCTTCCTAATTCTTGCTAGATGGCCTATTCAGTGCAGTAGGTTCCAGCCTCCTTTCAGATGGGACAGGGCAGCACCAACTTTTCACTTTCACCTTTTGCTCTGGCCGGGCTTGGACTCAATGACCCTTAGGGGTCCCTTTCAATTCAGGATATTCTGTGATACTGCGACTCCTGGGTTGGTGAGCAGGAGCACGCTGCACTCACACGAGCTCTGCCTGCAGCTCACGCGAAGCAGAGCCCTCTGGCAGGGCAGCAGTGAGAAGCAGCTCCCAGTACCAAGTAGCAGCTCATCCTTCCAGCAGCACAGCGAGACTCAGAGGCAGCCGGCAGCCCACAGCCATCATCACACCGACCTTTGCTCCCAGGCAGGTGTCAGCGCAGACGAGGCTTCGTGACAGGGACCAGAACCTCCTCGTTCCCCACAAACACACAGAGGCCTTTCCTCTCCGCCATAACGCCTCGCTTGAGGAGCCCGCATGCCCAGCGCAGCAGAAACCCGGGAGCGGCACGAGGAGTTCCCGCTCACTGCGTTCATAAGCGGCGCCCGCCGGCCGCACCGCCAGCCTTTCAGGCGATGCGGGCATCGAGCGCGTTCCTGCCGGGGAAACCCCCAGCCTGGAACCTGGAACCGCGACGACCGCTTCGCCCCACACAACCTGCCGGGGCGGCGCCGCGGGGGGCGCGCGAAGAGGCGACCGTTAGCGACCGTTGGGAGGGGCGCGCGCAGCCGCTAAGGGGACGGGAGGGCTGGGGAGAGGGCGGCCGCCGTCTCACCTGGAGACGCAGTTCTCCAGCACGGAGCTCTTGCCGGCACTCTGCCCTCCCACCACCGCGATCTGCGGCAGGTCGAGCAGGCAGTTCTGGCCCAGCGCCGCGAAGGCGTCCTGCAGCCGGTTGACGAGCGGGATGAGCCCCTCCATCCCGCCGCCTCCGCTGACAGGTAACGGCCGGCGCACTGCGCATGCGCGCCCGCTCCCGGCTGGTAGGCGGGCCCTCTGCTTAGGGGCCCCGCCCCCGCCCCGCGAGGACCCGCCCCCCAGCCGGTGGCGGGAACCTGCGGACCGCCCGCGTGCCCGGCTCCGTGCGGTGAGCCCCGCGGGGAGAAGCGTGTTCCGTCGGTCTGGGTGGTTATGAGGTGTAACGTTACCCCATAGCGCAGTTGGAGGAGAACCTCGGGTTTGGGAACAGGCTGCCTTCGTATCGCAGAGGGAAAGAAGTGCAGTGGGTTCAGCATGAGTTGTGTGGTGAGGCCAAGCTGGAGGTACAGCAAATAACAATGAGATTTAGCTGCGATGACTGGCAGCCGTCACAACACAGAGACGTTCCAGACAAGGCTGCAGAGCCCTGCAGTGACGGAAGCGATCCTCTGTGCTAAGCCAGACACAGGCTTGCTCAGCACGAATAGCAAAACAACGGGGAGCTGCGAGCATCCAAGCGCTGACAGGCGCTGACGGTCTGGAATGCGATCAACACATCTTGGCTGGACCTCACAGTGAGCATAAGAAGTGAATCCCTTCAGTGGGCCTGCTTCTAGCAGGGGGTACAGACAGACAGCTATGGACGGAGTCACAGAAGGAGCTGAGCCCAGCACAAGGCCTGGAGCCATCCTTGCATACAGCTGGGGCTGAGGGCACACTGCCAGTACGGACACAACCCCTCAGCTTCATGAAGACCTCAGCTCATCATGAAGCCCGTCTCCATGCAAAGGGTAAGGTAAGAGCTGAACTTGTCCTCATGGCAAGGGAAGATGCTGCCTGGTATCCAAGGAGGAAGAATTGTGTTTATCTCAGGCTAAAGAGGTATTATTACTCTGTCTCTGCCCTTCTGGGAAAAGCCTTGTGTTCCTTTCTATCTAGATGGAGCCTGGGGTTATTGGCATAATTATGCCAATTAACAGCATGAATTTTTTTTTCACGCTCCCGCCTGAGCAGCCTGTGCCAGGAGGCAACAGAAGAGCTTTTTGGCCTTCTTCCAGCCAATGGGTTCTTACTGGGAGTCAGGAACAACAGCATCACATTTTGGCAAAACCCTCCCAGCACAAGTGTAGGCACGTTTCCCATCACTTCTGAAATCATTACTGTCAGGAAAGGAGCAGCCTGGCACCAGGCCCCCCTCAGTGCAAGAGAAACAAGCACTGGATATGGCAGGATCCCTGGGGGCAATGCTGTGCTACCCTGAAACTGGTAACCTGGGGACCTGTCCTTTCCAGTAGCTTTTATGTCTTTGTTTCCTTCCTCTTGTTAAAAATAAATGAGAAAACATCAATTACTAGAAAAAGATTAAATTATTCCCTGAAGTCCGTGAAGTTTCCATTGTTTCTGGCTAAGCTGACCATGCTTACCCTATGATTCCATCACTTAGAAAAATCTGCCCTCTCCCAGAACAGAGGCAGTCAGAATGTAACTTTCCCACTTCCTCGCAAAAGCACAAACATTTGCATGATGCATGCACATGCTATGCCAAGGATACACGTTTTCTAACAGCTCAAGATGCCAGCAAAGGAAAGAGAAGGCACCTCCAGGTCTCTGTTTTTCTGAGGAGCACAAGGCTTCAATGCCCCACGCTGGTTCTCACTTCCTTTTGTCATACATTGTGCTCAGGAAGGAGATGAGACCTTCATGGCCCCAGCTCTCCCAGCATGGTGGGAAGGGAGGTGGCACCTCTGGATGTCACCGGCTCCAGCACTACCTGCTCAGGTCCCCAGGTTCACAGAACTGGCAGGAGCCTCCAGTGCATTTCAGATCAGGTCTATGGATAGCAAGTATATCCTGCCCTAGCTATAACAAAATAAATGGGAAGAAAAGCCTGGTTTCAGAGCACAGCTGTCGCTGTTTCTTACCCACTAACAGCTCTTCCAAACCAGGCAGCATGACGTTAAAATGGGACTTTCAGTTCAGGTCCCCAGGCTGCTTTATAAATGCACGCCAGCGCAATTCTCTTCACAGAGAACAGGGTTATATAGGAGCTGCCACAGAGGAGACGCAGATGCCTGCAATGAGCAGCCAGGCACACTCCCCCCGCCAGCAGAGCGCAGCCAAGGTTGCATCCTCCCCCGGGCCACATTCAGAAGAGGCACGCTCCTTCATGCATGATTTTCCCATCTCTCCAGGGACCTTCCTCGCACTCTCCTTGACTCAGCTCCAAACCCAAGGTCTTACGGAGCTTTTCATACAGCTGATCTGCATGAAGCAGGAGGCGTGGGGTTGGCGCCTGTGCTGCAAGGGGAGCTCCCAGGTTTCCACTACTGCCTGGCTCTGCAGGTTTGCAGCACTGGCATTACCATGCCAGCCAGCATCACGTGGTGCATCTGCCAGCGAAGACAGCTTAGAAAGGAGACCCTCAGGCTGCAAAAGAGACTGAAAGTACAAGAAAGGCTATGCTGCACTGCAGCCAGCAGAGAGGTTTCCCTGCAGCCTCCCACTGAGGGCACCTGGGAAGCAGTAGCAGCCCCTTGCTGCAGCTCAACAGCACATCTCCTGCATCCTCAGCCGGCAGAGCCAGGCTCGCTGTACATAGTTCTGGAGGAAATCAGCTCAGGATGAGCACCCAGTAACCGGGGCTGGCTGCAGACTCAGGGCTGAGCCATGCCCCAATTTACACAGTGCTTTCTTTTTGTGCTGGGAAATCAAGAAAGGAAAGATGTCAGCATCTCCAAGACCATCAGAGTTGCTAAGTGACAGAAGCGCTTGCTTCTAGCTCCCCTGTTTACAATATGCCCATGCTGTAAAGGAAGGAAGTGAAGAGTAAAGGATGCAAACATAGTATACTGCCAAAACACTCAGCAAAACAGCTGCCAAAAATATACGTTATCTACCCCCTTTTTGCTGCTCTGAGAAAGAATTTCTACCGATCAATTATTCCGCTTTCACCTACAGAGAATTTCAGGTAATTGCAGCACTCATTAGATATTTGCTGGTTTTCTAACTGACATATATTTCTTGACCAACACTGCAGGGCTGTCAGTGACTGCAAGGACAGCTGCAACGGACTGAGGTCTCATCGCCACTTTCTTCCCAATAGATGCCTTTTGTTTTTCCAACAGGATGTGGCATTACACAGCAATTAGGAAACGCAGCAGAAATGCAGAACTGGACAAAGGAGGGATGAACGCACGCTTTGTGCGAGCTGCCGGGGAAGAAATGAAATGGTTTAGATAAAATAAAGGGCATGCACGCTAATCTGTGTCATTGGAATTATGTTGAGGATTGGAAACAGAGTTAAAAATAGATTGAATGCAGCACTGCTGATAAGAGTTGAGAAATTTGCCGTCGCTGAGCTGGATGGATAATAGACATCCTTCAAAAAAAAAAGTGCTAATGACTAAAGAGATTTAGAAGAGAACAGCGCAGGGTGGACAGACTGCTGCACAAGCTGTGTTCCAGCCTTGCCCCTGCCAGTGACCGACGACTGCGTGCAGCCCCGGGCAGAGCACAAAGCAGCACAGAGCTGTCACAGCTTATCTGTCTGCAGCGGCGAGCCGGCCAGCCCAAATCTGAGCGCTGACACTCACGAGCGCTCTGAGTGCCTGGGGAGGATCAAAAGCACTTTGCAAAAAAGGAAAAAAGAAAAGAAAAAAAAAAAAAGCATCTGCACAGAAGCAGGCCAGCCAAAGGAGAAAGTGGGGCACCGACTTGTCCCGCTACATGAAGGAGAATAATGCAGAGAGCAACAGACGTGGGATCTAAGCAACTCCCTGCACAGCCTGGCAGGACCTGGCATGCCCCAGAGCAGCAGGGGCATCGCCCACCAAATGGACTGCAGTGTTCCATCACTGCTAGCAAGAAATAAACCTGGTGGAGCACTGTGATCCTCAAGAGCGGTCCTGAGCTTTATTCTCACAGCACTCAGCCCATCTATACACATCTGCTACCAGCCTCGGGGCAGAGCTGGGGGTTTGCAGAGATGCCAACAAGCAGAGCTCCTGGAGGTGTGGAAGAATATGGGAAAGAAGCAGAGCTGGAAGGGAAGAGGATGGTCAGAGTGACATTTAACCACAACAGGAAAGCAGTGGGGATAGATGCAAACAAACAGCCCTGCCAACCCTGGAGCACCTTCTTCCCCTCGCCACCCCAACACTGTCCTGTGGGCAGTGCAGCTCCCTGCTCTCCCAGCTCTGCTTTATGCAAAGAGTAGAGCCTCAGCACTCCAGGAGGCACACCAGGCTCCCTCCTGCTATAGGAAGCCCTCTTCCATGCCAGCTGCATCCTTCAGGCAGGCACCAGGCCAGCACTGGCTCCCTGCAAGGTCAACAATGTCCCAGCTGCAGCACCATGCAGGCACTCCTTTTGCTCAAGTGGCATCAGGGCACCTCTCAGAGGATGGTGATGGCCTGCAGCATGTCTGCCAGCGCATACGAACTGTCCCAAGAGTGTCCCAACTGCTGCATTGACCCCTCCAGTGCCTGGGCAAGCACTGTGAGCTCCACAGGGTCCCGCTGGCTCTTGGGGTTCGGCTGGCAGAACAAGATCTCATTGACCTCCTCATCGATGCGGCGTGCATAAAGCAGGGGGAAAACTTCCCTGAGGGTGGCCAGGACAGACTCCTTCAGCTGAGCATCACGGCACACCAGGTTGAGCACAAAGACCCCTGCAGTAGAGAAAGAGGCATTCAGAACAGTGCCACCCATGAGCCTGGCATCCTGCACACGCCTCCATGCACACCCCCTCTCTACACAAACAGCTGTATCAGTACCACTGGTGCTACCAGCTCCACCTCACGTGCAGCTTTGGGCAGCACGAGTGCCCTTGGCCCAGCTCCACGTCACTGGGAGCTGGGATCTGCTGGGAAAGGCAGCTGCCACACATCAGTCACAGCAGCACAGCCACTGCTTTCCAGGATGAGGAACCCACTACCCAGACCCTGTCCAGGACCAACCAGCCCAGCCCTGGCACTTGCAAGCGCACTGCCACCAGAGCCCACCTCATACCTTCTGGCTTGAGAATGGTTTTAACTTTCTCCAGGAAGGGCTTCTCCACAAATGCCAGAGGTGGACAGCTCATTCCCAATGTGAGGTCTTTACTGTCCACATCAAACATGATGGCATCATACTGAGCTGGGGCTGCAAGAAGGAACACGGACTCATTATTCCATGGCACAGGGATGAGCCACACTGGGTGGGGAAGCAGCAAACATAGGGGCCAGGCTCCCCCCTCTGCCACTTCCAGCTGCTTCTTCTGACAGCACCTTCTGGACTGGGGACAGACAGCAAATAGAAGGTCTCCTGCACACGCACTGACAAGGACAAGTCTGCTTGCTGCAGGGAACTGTCAAGGTTGGAGCTTGTAACACATGGCATGAGGTGCTGGAGAAACATGGGGAACACCATCCCACAACGTGGCTGCTGTGGAGGGACAGGATAGCACAGGGAGAGGCAAGAGGCAGAGTTGGAAACCAGTAGGAGGGCAGGACAGGAAATAGAATTAAAGCTCTGCAAGACAGTACCTTCAGCTGCAAGCTTGGCCACGTGGTCCAGGCCATCAGCAATGTGCACCTGAATCCGGTCATCCTGGGAGAAGCCAAACCAGTGCGTGGCCACCTCCAGCATGGAGGAGTCAATCTCCACTACAGCCACACGGGCCTGCGGGAAGTAGTCATGGACGAAGAGGGGCAGGCTGCCGCCACCAAGTCCCACCACCAGCACTGCAATTGGGGCTCCTGCCAGGGGACAGAGCCCAGGTGAGCTGCCAGGACTGCCACACTCCCTCTGCCCATCACATCCCGCCTGCCCCAAGCTGCTTCTGGCTTCACAGGCTGAAAAACCCTTCCCACCTCATCACCTGGCAGGGGGTCAGAGCTGCCCAGTAGGCAGAGCCCTGCCACCATGGCCTTGTGGTGCTCACAGCACAGGTAGCTCTTGTCAATTGCCATAGGAGGCTCCGCAGGGCAAGGCTTCTTCTTGTCTTTCTTCCTTTTCTTCTGGCCTGAAAGAGAGGAGGCTGGAGCCAGGGGAACTTTCTGGGGACTGACCACCCCAAACCCAAGTCCCACCAGCAACGCAGAGAGCAAAACCCCATCCACATCTGCACTGAGACAAGACAGACAGGCCCCAGCGTGACTCTTCTTCTTCTTCCTCGCATTCATCTCACTCCCTACCACCCAAAGTCACCCTCGGTCCTGCCCTGTCCCTAACCATCTCCTCAGCATACCTGGGGGAGGTGCAGGGGCCAGGAGCCGGGCCTCCGACTGCACCACGTTCCTGTTGCTGAGGAAGACGAGGCGACGGAAGTAGCATGCATCGTTCCCCTTGACGTCCTCCACGACAAACTCCCCACTCAGGGGGCTGGTGCCACAGTGCCATACTTTCCGCACCCCAATGTCCCCTCCCACAGACAGGAAGGGCACCTGCAGGGAGGACAGAGACTCGTGGCATCTAGGCTATAGGGACAGGCGCTGGCCGTGTCTTGACTGTGTCTGGAGGGGTAGGATGAAGCTGACACATCTGGGGAGCAGCAGGATGAGCTGTACGCAGTGCACAGGACACTGGGCTCATCCTGATCTATGTTGGGGTACAGCAAGCCAGCACCCAAAGGCCTTTTAACAAGAGGGGCTTGGAGCAAGAAAGAAAAGACAGAAGAGATGGAAGAAGTTAAAGGTGGAAAGATAGGGTTAGATGCTCTCTAGTTTTTGAGATGGCCTTTTTTTGTGTGTGTGTGTGTTCGTGTGTTTGGCATTCTGGGGTTGGCCCAGGCAATGGGAAAGACAGAAAGCCAAGTGAATGAGCTCACCTGTTGCCGGGCAGGGAGGCCCGGCGGGGCCAGCTCCATCACCTTCCCTGACAGCTCTGCCTGGATGCTGGCCATGCCCTCGTAGTGCTGCTCCCTGTGCAGGGCCACGGTGACCAGGCGCCCAAAGCCCGCGCTGGCAGCCAGCTGCCTCCGCCCTTCCTCCGTCCCAAAGAGCCACTCGGTTTCTCTGCCCTGCGGGACTGCAGATGGGGGATGCGGTCAGGAGAGCCCCAGTCAGGTGCTGGCCCCTGCACAACCACTCTGGAGAGGAACTGTAGGGTACAGAGATTTCACAAGGAGGCAGCACTGCCTTATGCCTTATGCCTAGAGCGAGGCTGCACAATCAGTGATCAAAAGGACCTTTCTCAAATTGGGCAGGCTTGTGTAGGAGCCATATCTCATGGTAAAGGGGTGTCCAATAGCCCCAAAACTTATCTGTGGTTTGTGCCGAGCCTCAGGCTCTGCAGACACACAGGAAGCTAACAAGGCTTCTGGCAGAGCTTGACAAATCTCTGCGAGTAAAACCCCAACCAAACCCCACAGGGACAGATGATTTCCCTCTTCAGCTCCAATTCCAGCAGACCAGGACTACTGCTGCTATAGCAGCTCCTGGAGTGCTGTCTCTTTGCAGGCAGGAAAGGCTGTACTCACTGATGAAGATGGCGAAGCGATTGTCACGGGAAAGTTTCACCGCAGGGCTGTCAACTACATGCAGTGTGTAGCGGGGCCTCCCACTGGCTTTATCGCACAGATCCAGGGAAAACTGCTCCCCACAGGGGGCTTTGCTGACCTGGCTGCAGAGCAGGGCGTAGTGCTGCCTGTCTTTCACTGCCTCCACCAGCCGCTCTGTGCTCTCCAATCGCAGTGGCTTGTCCTGCTCCTCGGAGCAGATCTCCAGGATCTGCAGTGCAGAGCCAGGGATCTTCCTGAACTTTGTCATGACGTAGACAAAGACCGGCAGGACAAACTGCTGCTTGTCCCCGCTGGTGGCCACTTCATGAACACGCACTACCCAGCCCTCCTGGGAGAAGTATTCCACTGCTTTCTTCAGCACATGGGCTTGAGCCAAGGAGACGCAGAGGTAGCGCCCTCCCACCTGCAGGACCCGGCTGATCTCAGCAAACATCCTGTCCACCTTAGCCAGAGTGACCTCCTCATCATCGGTGAGTATGGCATCCAGCGTGCCTTTGTCGAGGGCTACTTGGAAGTGGGCATCCGGGAAGTCCATGTGAAGCATGTCCATTTGCAGGTAGCTCATCTTTGGCCTCTTGCTCGTGCTCCGCTCCTGCATCTGACGGATCACGGCGTCGCTGATGTCAATGTTCACAATGTCCTCACACATCCCCGTGTCGTACATCTGCTCGCTCAGCTCCGAGTTCCCACAGCCGACCACAAGAACCTGGGAAGCGGGACAAGAGCAGCAGTGATGGTGAGGGTGCCCTGCATACACATCTCAAAACATTTTACAGTGCAACAATGGGACATTAACCAGGAGCCCTCAGCAAGAACCACATCCATAGCACCTCCAGATACTCCCCATGGCCCTAACAATCATTCCATAAAAGTACATGGGCACAGAAGCAACGTGCCTACATTGCCTCGCTTTTGGGGATTATCTGGATGATTTAACGCCATGGTGGAACAACATCTGGTATCTTCTGATTTCTTGCTACGGCACACTGGAAACATATTTCTTGTGCCAAGACCTGACAGCTGAGTATGGAGCACTGTGTTGCAAGGCGGGGAAGGGGGGGGGGAATGACAAACAAAGCTCAGATGTGGAGAGCAACCCGGGCAGAACCGGGGGATCGGCAGAGTGCGATAAGAAGCACGCCAAACCGGGAGAGGAGAACTGGGCCTCACCTTGTCGCGGGGCCGCACGTACTTGAGCAGCACAGGGCACAGCTCCGGGAACGCCCCGTACCACTCGAAGGGCCGCTGCCCGCGCTGTCGGAAGAACCGGTCCCAATACCTCGCGGAGCCGAACTCCCCGGGGCTGCGGGGCAGCAGCTCCATGGCCCCGGTTCGGCCGTTCGGTTCGATCCGGGGCCGGTCCCGAACACGTGTTCCCGTACCGCGCCCCCACTGACGGCATCCGAGCGCGCAGCGCTCCCATTGAGCGCAGCGTCCGCGCCGCTGATTGGCTGCTGCCCCCGCCCCGGCTGCTTCCTATTGGCTTCCGCTCAAGAAGGGCGGTACTTCCCGCATCGGTGGCGCGCCCGGGGAACAGCCGCGCCGAACGCCCGTTCTCCCGGCCCGGAGAGGCGGGCGGCTACAGGCGAACAGGCGGCTCCGGCTCTGATGTTTTCATCGGTAGAACCTGCGTGAAGATGGTGGAAGGTCTCGAACGTAACAGCGCCTGCAAGCCTCCCGCGAGGCACAAACATACAATGATCTCAGCACCTTAATTAACGTGCACCTGGATTCTACAGGCATTTCTGAAGCAACACAGATAGGGAAGAAAAAAAACAAAACAGTATTCGTGGCTTCATCGTGAACAACTTTAATATAAGCATGTGACTGAACTGAGACCTTGCAGGGATGTTTATGAAAAGTACAGCATCCAGTGTCTGCGGGCATGGAGATGCTAGCTGGGATTGGAGGGGGCCTCTGTTGGGTTGCTCTGAAGGAAGAAGGCAGAGAGCTCGCTCAGTGCACGGTACCGGTGTGAGATTGAGTTCTTTACAGCCTTGGGCAGCTCAGCGTAGCTGGAGTGGGAAGAAACCAAAACAGTCCTCAGCAGATGAGTTGCTGCAACATGTCCCCAACACCTCCCCTTTGCCTTGCTTTGCTGCCCAACCACAGTGGGGATGTTAGCAGTGATACATGTTGGCAAAATCAAGGATCCCCATACTGATGCTGGGTTTCTTTGTTTTCTTATTTAGACCCAGAACAGTGTCCTCACCTTGCCAGCACTGCTTGTATGCGGTTCCTCTAAGTACAGAAACAAACACAGCCCCCATCCCTTCCTTTCCTTAAAATAACCATGAAGTGCTGTAGGTAAAAAGCCACTTACGTCTGGTCATAGCCATCAGGCTGAAAGCAGGGATCCCAGCCAAAATCTCGAGGACCTCTGGGCTCAACAATTACCCCCTACCATGAAAAAGCCAAAGAGCCCTGTAAGTCGTGGTTCCTCAGCACTGCTGGTGCAGTCACATCTGAAACACAAGCTGCAAAGTGGCACTCAGAAAGCCACAGTTGTGGCCACCCACCAAAGGCTTGATGCTGCCCTAATTTCTCAGCACTCCCCCAAAACATGACCAAAATTAGCAGTGCCAAAGTCAGTGCTCCATCAGGGTGCTGTTTGTTGGCAGCCCTTTCACTACCCTCCACACCTCCCAGACCGAGAGAACTAACCATTGCAATCCAAGCAGTTACCTCACTCAGTCAAGTTACCTCACTCACTGACACTGTCCTTGACAGAGCCAATGCTATTACAAAATACACATTACAACCCCACCTACATGTGTCTGGCCTTTGAACAGCTTCACAGGCTCCTCTGGGTTTCCAGTACTGAATGCAAAGGTGCAAAGAGCATAGGCAGATTTGTCCTCAAATCCAGCCAGCAGCTTGTACAGGCCTGAGCAACACAGAAAGGATCCTGGTGTCAGTGTGATTCCAGGAGAGCACAAGACACCCACCTAGAGACGGATCAAGGGAGTGCTCTGCATTCACATGGACGAGGGAGAGGAAGAACCACAGGCATAACAAAGCTAAGATGAACCCATGCTTTCAGCTGAATCCCTTCTATCCCTGAGCCGCATTAATTTGGGAGCAGAAACAAAGAAGTGCATTGCCTCAGAATGACTAAAGCCCCTTGTCAATCACAGTGATTAACACTCCTGCTGATGATGCCAGTATAGAAGCCAGAGATCACAGGTCTTCCAGGTTACCTCTGTGAAAGGCAATTCCCACACACCCTGCCACCAGCCCGCGGGGGCAGAAGTCTGGGAACCCAGCAACGCAAGGATGATACCAAAGCTCCTGGGGGAAACAACATCCAGTGAGGAAGGGAGCAGAACAGTCTAAGAGAGAGAGCACAAAGGGACAGAGCTGGACAGACAAAGGAACCAGCAATGAAGCAGGCAGCCAGGTGGGGGAGCACACTCAGCAGCACATAGCACAGGCAGGGATTCCCATGGCACATCTGTGCATGGCAGCCCAAGCCTGGAAAGAACAGTTACATGCAGACAGTGCTACAAGAGGCAGTACCTTCTGGCTTGAGCTTTTCCAGGAACCATTTTCTGAAGGGGGAAAAAAGGAGGAAAGACAAATTTTTGCTGATATTACTCAGAAACACAACCATCCTTGAAGCACTGTTGCCTGTGTTTTCACAGCTCTCTGAATCCCTATTAAATGTACTGTGAAATCACCTCATTCTGGGCTATTTACAAATAAAAACAAACCTAGTTCTTAAATTAAATGGGACATAGGGAAATGGGAAAACAATGGTGGGGTATTTAATCTTAACTTCTGTGCAAATAACCCAGTTCTCACTCACAAGCATCAACAAGCTAAAATACATTTATTGATTCCACTCGTTCACATTTTACACTCATTTGTAGTGCACACTGCTTGTATGACTCTGATTAGATTAGCAGAGAGTTTGAAAGAGTTAATCACAGCAAAAGATAAACCTAGGAACTAAGAGTGTACATTAATAGAAGAAATACACAGCAATGTAACAATCCTGTACCAACAGGATCAAAACAGGCCCTTATGAGAATCTAAGGGACACTCACATAAGAGCACTCCTGACACACCTGGTGTCTCAGAGCTTGGTGCGGAGCTCCCAAGCTGCAAGAGCAGGCACCCAAGACTGGGAACATGAGGCAACAGTTCAGATCTGTCTCTCCTGTCCTGTACAGTGCATTACAGCACTCCTCATGTCCTGCCCACAGGATGCAGAATTAAACAGAGGACACAGAGCACCTCCCTGACCCTACTACCCCTGGTGCATGGAGTGTTCCCTGTGAAGCTCATCCTGCCAAGCTGTATTCCTCGCTCTAAGAGGAGAAAAATGAGGCAGGTTCCCATCTACTTACATGTATGGTCCTGGAAGTCCCCCCAGGGCATTGAAGCACAAGCAGGTGTCCTCTATTATAACAGGCCCCCGAATCTGCAGCAAAAGCAATATCATGCCTCAAGGAAGGTACTACCAGACTCATTTCCCTACTCGGTGCTGGTCTCATGCACCCAAGATAACAAGAACAACTCGGCAGCAATCAAAGCCCTCCCTTCAGTGTCAGCCCTCACCACACAGCCCACTGCATCCCCAGCAGGGGCTGAGCGGTGGCAGGGAGGTCCTCCCACACAACAAAATGAGCAGAGCTGCACAGCCCTGGCCCTAACGGAGCAGTGGAAGTGCCCAGCACGAGCTCCAACAGGTGGAAAATCCTGCAGCCCACAGCCGCCAGGGCCGCACTGAGGGACACGTCGCGTCTGCTCGTCGCTGTGGGGACGAGAGATCACGGGGGCGGCAGCAGTGCTGTCTAAGGGCAGCGCCTGCCCTCGGAGGAAGGACACGGCAGCGGTGAAGGCCGCAGCCGGGCCCCGCCCTCCCCAAACAGCCAAAGCGAACCGGGAGGCGCTGACCTGCCGGGCGGCCTCACGGCACTTCTGCACGGAGATCTCGTCCGGCTCCCCCTGGTACTCGGGCACTGGGGACACAGACGGGCGGTCGCTGAGGAGGAGGAGGCGGCCGGGCCGGGCCGGGCCGGGCCGCGTGTCGTCAACCCCCCCCCGCCAACTTACGGTCAATTTTCTTCGCCACCAACGTGTACGGAGAGGAGTCCCCGAGGATCTGAGTGACCTGCGGGAGGCAAGGGGGAAGCACGGCCTTCAGCCCCGCCTCCGATCCGGCTCTCGGGCCCGCGGGCCCCAAGGCCGCTCGTCGCCAGGCGACCGCCCCCCACCTCCTCCAGCTTCTTAGCGTTGCCCGTCACGAACACCACGCTCCTCCGCACCGGTGCCGCCATGCCGACCCACGCCTGCGCGCTGAGCAGCCAATCACCAGCCGCGGCGCCGTGACCCTCGGTAGCGCCCGGCCAATGGGAACGGCCGAGCCTCCGCGGGCAGGCGCGTTGCTTTTGCGGGTACGCGTGCGCGGGATCGCGCGAAGCGATCTCGCGTGATCTGCCGCGTCGCCATGGAGACCGGTGTCTCCGCTGCAGCTTCGGCGACCCCGGCCGGGTCGCGCTCCGCCCCGAGACCCCTCAGATCGGCGCCGGGCCACGGATGCGGGAGGCGGGGACGGCGCCCAGCTCTCCCTGCCCTGTTTTCCCCGAAGCCATGGAGATGATGGAGCTGGGCCCTGGGCTGCGCTCCACGCCTTGCTGTTTACTCCAAGCTCTGGCAAGCCTGCGAGCTTGGTGCGACTGCAGATTTCCTGCGTGGGAGCGAGCAGATTTCATCCTTCTGAACACACCTGCGGGAGCAGCTGGCCCGTCGTAAAAACAGGGTCAAAGGATGCTCCCTTGCGGGTCCTACTCTTTTAATTTGTACAAAAACAAATCAAATCCTACCCAGATGCATCACAGAGACAGAGCTCTGTGTTGGCTGTAACCCTGGGAGAGGAGCTGAGCCCTACAGAAATCATAGAATGGCCTGGATTGATAAGGACCACAATGATCATCTAATTTCAAACCCCTGCTATGCACAGGGTCGCCAGCCACCAGACCAGGCTGCCCAGAGCCACTTTCAGCCTGGGCTTGAATACCTCCAGGGATGAGGCATCCACAGCCTCCTTGGGCAACCTGTTCCAGTGCATCACCACCCTCTGTGTGAAAAACTTCCTAATATCTAACCTAAACCTCCCCTGTCTCAGTTTAAGACCATTCCCCCTTGTCCTATCGCTATCCACCCTTGCAAACAGCCGTTCCCCCTCCTGTTCATATGCTCCCTTCAAGTACTGGAAGGTCACAATGAGGTCTCCCCAGAGCCTTCTCTTCTCCAAGCTAAACAAGCCCAGATCCCTCAACCTTTTTCATAGGTGAGGTGCTCCAGCCCTCTGATCATCTTAATGGCCATCCTGAGCCCCAACACTCAGTGCCCAAAAGGCAGAAGAGAGCACTGCCCTGTCCTGCCCATACGCAGGATCCTGGGATGCCACCGCAGAACCCGGCACCCCTCCTCGCACACTGCTGTCCCTGAAGCTCCATTTTACGAAGGGCTTCACAAGGGAGAACTTTCTCTTCCTGTAAGAGCAGAGCCAGGAGCAGAGGCCTGTCCCTCCTGCTTCAGCACAGCAGCCATCCATCTCTGCAGCCTCCTATCCGTAGGCACAAGGACCCCCACGTCCCACTGCACAGGTCCCACTGGCAAGCCTGGAGGGAGCAGCAGCCCTGCAGGAGGAATGGGTCCCACCAACAAGCCTGGGAAGGAGAAGCAGCTCTGCAGGAGGATCATAAAGCACCAGCCAAGGCACACCACTCCCTGTGAAAACCAATCGCATGGAAAACAGCAGCTAATGAGAAGATCTGGGCAAAAACGAAATGGATAAAACAGACACTATGCTTGGGTGGAGTTATTTTTGTTGTGAAATCTTCTTCATAACATCTCCTAAGTGAAAACCAAGCCCAAAGAACGCAGGCAGCTTCTTCCCATCCCTGCTGGGAATAATAGCCCTTCCCTATTACTGCAGCTCTCCCTGCAGTCAGGCCCTGGCAGTACTATAAAGACCAAGGCAGTGTTAAGGAGAACAAGGAGGACTGCTCCATAACATAGCTGATACTGGATACTGTAATGGCCTTTTCAGCCTTGAAAAGCAATAAACTGCTTGATAAATTTTGTCACCGTCAACAGAACTGTTATTTGCTGTTGACTCTGTTTTCCAGCAAGAGACAGTCTCTTGAGAAGGTTTGTGCTTAGGATGACCCTGCTGCTCAGGGTCTTGAACCTAAAACACCATCCTGGCAACCCAGAGGAGAGTAGAGTGCTGAGGTCCTTGGCAGCTTTCTCTGCCCAACATCTTATGTACAAACACTTACACCCCAACCTTCTGCATGAGACTGCAAAACCACCTGGCCAGAACTGAGGCAAGCCAGCTTTCCAGGTACCTTGGGGGCACCTGCTTCAGTTCCATTGCTATCGGAGGATGAACACAAGCAGGAAGGTGTAAGGCTCCTTCTCTGTGGATCTAGGTCAGCTGAAAATGCATCTGCACCTTTCTGCAGCAGCTTACTGCTGTGACCTGGCTAAGGACAGCTATTCTCAGAGCAGTACGCTCGTGCTCACAGGGATCATTTAATGCAAACTGGAAACTCTTTCTATGGACAGGCTGCTGGCAGATATCCACCAAACCCAGCAAGGACAGAGCTCTTCACAGATGGTTTTGTCGTTCTTGCAGTTCACAGCCATCTTTGTCACTCCAAAGCAATACCTGCACCAGGCAGGGAATAGAGTCCCCAGGGGAGCCAAGCTGTAGCTGTTCCTTGGTTCAGTGGAGCAGGCAAGAGAGAAGGATGTAGCAGAAGCTCCTAGGTTTGGCAGCTAGTAGCAATTATTTAATACAGCAGGATCACCAGGAGGCCTTCATGCAACCAGCATAACCAGCATCCATTTACCAAGGTCCAGCTCAGGATGGATGTGGAGTCCTGACATATTCTTGCAGCATCTAGGTCCTTCTGTAAGTAGCAGCAGCACGTGCAAGATGAGTCCAAAAGAGAATGCCAGAGGTGCCAGTAGGGCCTTCAACAGTAAAACCTGCCCCTCACAGGCAGCAAAAGAGCAGGCAAAGCATAGTCATAACATGGGCTCACAGTGCTGCTTCTCACTTTCCAGCTGGCAGGAAAAGGCCCCCAATGCTCCAGTGAGTCTTGCAGCCCTGCTGAAAACAGACAAAATCCCCCTTCATCTACCCTCTCAATCTTTTGCAGCTGGAGAGCAGCCAAAGGCATAGCCTGAGTGATTTTTATCTCTTCCATTGAATGTATGATTTTGCCCTCAGGATCTAAAAAACGTGGCAACGTGTTAGGAGGAAAAACCCAGCTTGGCTTTCTGATTCCCACCTGGAGTGAACAAGGCACACAAAAGGGAAAAGCACTATTTATACACAAGCAGAGCAAGTAGAGCTTGTAATCACATCTAGCACTCCAGCCTGCTGTGCTCACTTCTAATCCTCTTCTCTGCATGGAGCAGCACCACCACTCAGGTGGAAACTGTGCATGAGGTCCTGGGGGCAGGTCCATAAGGGAAGGCTGGGTGGTGGCGTAAGAAATTCTCGGGGGCACACTATTTCCCCTTCTGCCCCAGTAAAATTCCTTCAGACACAGACTAGGAAAGACAATGTTCCTCTTGTCAGCAGAAAAGAAACAGCACAAGAACCAGGAGAGTGAGAAAAAACAGGAGAGTGATTTCAGCTAAAGTTCTAGGCTCAGTGCAGGAAGGAACTAGAGTCACAAAATAAAGTGCAGACAGAAAGGCCATCAGTGCCTGAGACCAAGCTGCAGTCAAACAGAAGGGGATTCATGGCTCTTGTGCCGAAACAGTCCTACCTGTAGATGGAGGACATTCACTCCCATTTAGTCCAGCACTACAGCCCACACCACACCAAACTGCCAGGCTTGGACACAGCCCCTGCCCCACTCGGTTGCAAGGAAACAAAACAAGCTGGCATTCACAACCACCACCACTGACAGCACCAAGGTGAAGGGCTCTCAGTATAAAGTGGGCTTGGTTTATTCTGGGCCGATATAGGGACAGTTGCCATCTTCCTGCTGTGTCTTGTATCACTGGGATAACAGAGAGCTGAGCTTTACGTGCTTCTTCCTTCTGGTTATGAAAACACCAACACAGCTCCATTCCTGGGGATTCCCAGCAGTTGAGAGAAGGCAAGTGCAGTAACTTCACATGTACAGTCAAAAATAGGTTTACTGGAATGTCTTTAGTCACATCTGTAAGCAGCAATAACCGAAAACACTGAGCTTGTGCATTCCCATGGATTGTAAAACTTAACTATTATTTTTTTTCTTTTGTAACATGAGAAAAACAATACCCTTACAGTTCTCCACAGAAGGGTCGGTCTCCTGGAACATAATGGTGTGTTTCCCTAGATATTCTTCTCCTCCTTCACCCCGATGAAAAGACAGAGTCCCCTCTGCCTTCCACAGCAGGAAGCAAGGAACTGCTCAAATTTGAAGTATTTTTACAACTCAACCATATATACAGATAAACCGCAGTGGCAAGTAGATGGCTCCAAATCAGAGACTCAGCATTCCACAAAGCAGGCAGTTTGGGAAATGAATCTTCTGTTGTAAAAGTCTGGCAGCAGGAGCAGGTACTTGACCAAAGAAAAAAAAATAAAATAAGAAAGGGTCAGTTGGCAGTTCTCAAAATGCTCTGTTAGAACTGGCTACTTGCCGCCGCTGCCTCGCTCCTTGGAGAAAAACAACTTTAAAGCTATATACAGATATCTCACTTAAGTTACACAGCAGTTTGTTTATCCCACAGCCAGCTCCACCGAAGCCTCCAGCTGACCCACCATCAGGTATGGTACTTCAGGACTATGGGTACTGGAAAACAAAACACAAACAGGCTCTCAGCCAAACACCTTCACGTGCAGCAGTGACACTGACAGAGAGAGAACCCCTCATCCCTGTGGTGACAAACACCAAGCAGCCACAAGGGAAAGTGTGTCTTCAAGCTCGAGCCAATGCAAGCAGCTGCCAGCACACATGCTAGACAACATTTCCTGCCACCTTCATCTCCTTCCAGCTTCCCAAAATTAAACCAGATGGGATTTTCCATCAGTCTCTCTTTGCTGCCAGCTCTGCTTCTCCTGCTCCTAGCTGTGCATCAGCAGGACAACAGGCCACGAGGATTTTGCTGAAGGGCAGCACAAGAACTGTTACAGAGATGCCTCCAACAACAGTCAATGGGAGGAAAACCCTCCAGACACAGTGGCACAGAAAAGCTGCACTACTGTGCAGGGCTGCCTGAACCCCTGGGGCATGTCCTTTAGCATGCAGAGTGCTGAATTACTTCCCATCCCCCATCTCCAGAAGAAACATGCTCTCGTTATTACCTGTTACGTAGAAAATGAAGCAGCCTGGCTCCTTTAGGAAGGAGCACTTTCTGGAAGCAGGCCTATTGCAAAACGGCTGATAGACATGGAGAGGTGTTTGGAAGACACTGCTCTGGTCTGAAACCTTTCTACCTACTCTTACCAGCCACACAGCCTTGGCATTGACCTGTGCCAACCCTCTATCAGTACAGTGTTGGCAACACAATGCTGGCAACAGCCCATACGACTTGGCTTGAGCTTGCTCCTCTGCATGTACATTTAAGCTTTGAAGAAGAGAAGCATGGAGCGGGCTACAGACACCAGTTATAACTACTGAATAGAGTGAAGCCCAATGGGAGGAACTCAGGTGCTCTGCCCTGAGGGATAACAGCAACAGTGTCACTCAGTGCGCAGTGCAATGAGAATTTCAGTGCTAGAATGAATGGGGTGACCTGGAGCTACTCACTGATGATCACGAGCAGGAGGACGATGGCCACCAGCGCTATGATTGCTTTCATCTGCAAGAGGAGCACAGACACGTGTTACATGTGGCACCCTGTGTAGCTCCTGCATCTTTTCAGCTAGAAAAATGCTTAAACTCTTTTTTCCACCAGTACCTACTTTCAAGCAGCCAGAAACTTCCCATGACAAATTTCTGCTGAGAAATATGTCTGGAAATTGCTGTACACAAACTTAGCAGAAAGCCCCTATATGATGCCTTCCTGACTCTGCAGAGGAGAAGGGATGCCTTGGCCTGGACAGATCAGTCTCCATCAGAAGAAATAGGGAGAGGGAGCCAATTCAAAGCTCAGATGCTCTCCCTTGCAGAGCATGAGCAGCCAGCTCAGGAGGGAGGATGGCTTCAAATCATCTTGCCAGGATCACCACATCCTTCCTCATCTCACACGGCCAGCATCCAGCCTGGCTAACTGAATCCAAGATCCCTAGGGAGCAAGCATGAGATACCTCCAGATGGCTCCTATACCAGCTGCACCACCTCCATGTGTGCCTCCAAGGCACTCAAGCCTGCACTGTTCACACTATTACAACAAACCAACAGGACAGGCACTCTCTCTCTAGCTTAAATTGTTCCCTTGTGGCGCTCCTGGCACACAAACTGACTCTGTTGTTTGGCCCAGAGGCTAAAGGACCTGTGTGAAGAAAATCATTCCAGTTCTTGCTCACCTTGCAGCCTCGCCACCACATCTGCCTTCGAAGCTGTTTGGCTCTGTTGCTAAATGCTGTTGCATTGTCTGATAAACTCTCTGTTGAAGGAAAAAATAGAGGCAGTTCAGTAGTGCACACAGTCTATCACTCATCCCACAAACCCCACTTAGTTTCAAGCAGCAAACTTGACAATAAGGGAGAAGACCAACTGCAGTGTGTTTCCACATAGCCACAGGGGACGCCAACAGGACGCCCGTTGCCAGGGAGCACACAGACCTGTGGTTCAAATGAGCCCCCTTTGTCCTGGCTGCCCTCTGAGGAAAGGAATTCATTTTGCAAGCCAGCAAGCAGCAGATGGCCGAAGTGCTCAGGGCTGACATGAAACAGACCAACCTACATTAGATTGAAGGACCAACTAGGTCACAGCATCCAAATGCCTCCAAACTAAAGCCTGGGCATTTCCAAGCCTAAATCTTTTCCAAGGCTGACTTCACATCACTGCAATGACAACACACTGGGCTATGCTGAGCACAGGGGTAAACCTGGGTGGCTGAGCACCAGCTGGATGCTGAGTATGCAAAAGGAGCCCAACGGGCAGCTGCAGTGAGAGAGGAGGGACTGATTCCCAAGGGGTGGTTAGAATCTTACACAGAGGCTGCTGAGCAACCAACCACACCAGTGGGTGATCTACAGACATCAGTAAGCATGGGCTGGGGCTGTGCAGGACAGCAGTAGAAGGTGGAAAGAAGAACCTGGAGGCATAAAGCTAGCTCTGCAGCCCAAGGCTGGGAAACCACTCCCAAGCAGAAAAGACATACAAGCCTACCTCTGTCACTGGATACTTTCTGAGCTGAAATCAGATAACCTGGTCCAGCTGTGAGGAAGAGGTGCAGGGAAAGGGATAAGACAGCAGAGCATTTATCATCACACCTGATTTATCCTGCAGGTCATCCAGCCGCTCGCCTCTTTCAATCACCTTTGTGATGTTCTCCTGCATAACATCGATGACTTCATCCACCTGGTTCTGGACACTAGAGCAGAGCAAAGCAAAAGCAGCATGAGCAGCAGGAAGCACACCCCATCAGCTGCACAGTGCAGCACCAGCCCTCACTCTGAGCTGCACGTGATGGGGTCTGGGGAGCTCTGGTAAAAATCGAAGGGGACAACAGTGGAGGGAGGCCGATGGGATGCTGAGAAAATTGAGAGGCATGGCACTGTGTGGGGTGGATGTCTGGCAATCCCAGACAGTGCAGAGGAATGCAAGGGGCTCTAAGAGAGTCTTAGAAAGTCAGCACAAGTGGGGCACCTTCCCATTGGGGGCAGGCATAGCAATGCAAACACATGATGTGTGTGGCAACCACCTTCACTAGTACTCATCTGTCTGTGAATTTAAACTATACAGCTTCAGTGCAGAGCTGGAACATCAAAATGCTCTGCAGTTGGACTGGTGGAAACCCTGCAGCTAGAAAAGGCACTGTGGGTGGGTGCCTCTGCTGTAGAGGAGTTCACATCAAAGAGGGGAAAAAATAGAAAAAATAATCACACCTTATCTTTGTAGACTTTACAGAACTCAGCACTGCACCTTCGACTAAATAACTTGGATCGGAATCAAAGCAAGATACGCTCCCCTGCCCAGAAACTGAGCTGCTAAATGAAACCCACTCTGGCAGGGGCATCGACAGGACAGAAAAGAAATGGCTGACGTGAACTGAACCAACTCATTACAATCCATCTTCTCACAGTTACACAACTCGTGGGTAGTCCTTTCAGTGAACGGTAGCCTAAATCGTACCCGCGGGGTTATTATAAATGCATTTATTCACTCCATAAAAAAGCCACACTGGTGAGAGAGAAAAATTCTGCCGGTGGAAAAATACTGCTGCAGTCCGGTTTGTATTTTGGAGCTGATACACTTGTATTTTCCTGGAGACAGAAATAAAAGATTTCTCAGGGCCCTGGGGAGACAATAGGGTACGTCGGAGACATACCGATCCCACAGAGTAAGAGGGAACAGCAATGTCTTGGAGGCAACCCCACACACAAGGCAACAAAACAGAAATAGCTCCAGATCACTCGCTCTGCACGAAGTCTTACATTCCACTCTTCAAGCTACACTGATTTTAAAATATTTAAATACTTGAAATATATTAGAAACGCACTGAGTGTTCACCACTGGCAGCTCTTCCCTTTGAGGACACTACCACTTCAGCATTTGCACCCATGCTCCCCAAATAACCCTCCTTCCTCTTTGCATCACTGCAAACTGTCTCCTCCCCACCTGCATCTTTCAGATATGAAAATTCTAAGGCAGTATTTGCCAAAGCAGAGTGGATTTTTTATGATTATTTATTTTCTTGTTTTATTTACAGCAGCAGCAGACTCAACACTTGAAGATCAATTGCACGGCATCTAGTCCCAGAGCACCTGGTAAGAAGAGAACAGCATAATGTGCACCACGGCCTGGAGAAATGGGGCCAAAGGAGATCCAGAGCAGCATGCCCAAGGCTGGGGCCCTGCAGAACAAGGAGCAGGGCCCCGTTCCTGAGCCTCAGCCAAAGTTCTATCTAAATAGAAGCTGCTGTGTCTCTAATTAAAAGACACTGAGTTCTGGTTCACACTGACCTAATTCTCTTGTCTCCCTAGCAGCTATGTGCCTCTCACCGAGGAGATGTTTGCGCTGAGATGCACACACAAGGAACAGCTACAACACGCCATAGCAGCTTCAATGGAAAGGCACATATTCACTTATCCTTCCAAAAACAGGCAAGGAAAGTCACTAAAAGAAAAGATATTTTTTTCCCCACCAGAAGCTCCACGGAGCCGCAAGCAGCAGTATGAAGGGGCTTCATGCCTTAGCGCTGCAGGTCAGGCTTCGCTGTGCCTCTGCACTGCAGCTTCTACAGTTGGAACAGGCAGGGGAACCTTCTAAAGCCAATTTCTGACTCATCAGCCCTCACACAGCATATGCTGGATTTCAAAAGCACACCTAAGAAATTTATTGTACTCAGGATGCCATAGGAAAGGAACCTGCCTTCCCCACGCAGTATCACAATGTCTATCCCTGCATCCACCTAATGGGGAAGGCAGGTTCCTTTCCTATGGCGTGCAGCAGCAGCTCCTGCCTTTCATTAGGAGCTTCCTACCTGGAGGAAAAAAGCACAGAAAATTCCCTGCCCTTTCCCAGCAGAACCCTGTCCTGAGCCTATCCCAACCCACCACTCATTCTGAAAGGTGAGCAGCAGGTGTGCACAGGTGGCACCGAGCACGTGGGCAGGAAGCTCATGTCACAGTGTCCAGCCCAAACAGGGATTCACAACCCTGCATTCCTCTTCTGGAGCAGTGGGTGATGAGATAGGAAGCACGTTCTGCAAGGGAATTTCTTCCCCTTGGCACAACCACAACAGACAAGTCCCAGCTCAGAGCTGTAAGCAACTTTGACAGAGCCTGGGGTGAGAGAGGGAAGAAGAAACATCTGCTACCCCAAGCAAGCCAACTTGGCAAAAACTGAGGATTTAAACATCAGATTCACAGGCAGAAGACTACATTCTTAGTATGTAAATATTTCTGAAAACATTTACTGGATTCAAAATAGAGAGATTTCCTCTCACAACAGATTTGTAGGCAAACTGTCCTGCTACAACCAGCAAGCAGGAGCACACCAGTGCTCGGTGCAGCGTAGTGCCACCTGTGCCCCACAGCCTGCACGGTGCAACACAAGCACTGCTGCACTCCCAGGGCACCCCGAGGCATTAAGGCAAAGCAGGGCAGAGGTCTGTAAGCTAAACCACCCTACTGTGCCCAGCATTTAAAGAGGTCCAGGAGGCTCAGACCCTAACCAAGCTGCACCTCAGCATCCCACCTCTTTTGACCTGAGGTGCTGGAGAACTGCTGCGTGCCCGTGTCTGCCACAGCCCTGCTATGCTGCTAGCAGAAGTAAGACGTTTCACAGATGGGGAATGGAGAGACAGAGAAATCAAGGCCTAAACTTCCATAGATATATATAGTTTTCCCTCATGGAAAGCAGACATGTTTGAGCACCCTGATACTGTCAGATATCTGATGCAAGAGAAAAGCCAGGGAAAAAACAGGAAGGGATTGTAGCAGAGAATGAAACTTTGATCTCCAGGGTCCCACACAGTGCCTCAACCACCAGCAGCCCATTCCTGCTTTCCACCGTCTCCCACCTATCATCAAAACAAGAAAAGCCTCTCCACGAAGGGGCTGAAAGATGCACAACCTATGCATCAATTCACATTAGTTTGGCACGCCTGAGGTTGGAAACTTAAGTCACATCAATTGGAAAATATTTTCTTGTTTTATTTGGCAAGAAAGAACAAATTGCCTAATATGAAGCATATTTCCCATTCAGGAGCTGTTGAGTTTTGACACATTTCATATATTTAATTCCTGCTAGATTTCCAATAGAAATAAAGTAGACTAGACATCTGCCAGCAAGACAAAAGCACAAAGCATTTCACATGGCCCTTCCAACCAATGACTGCCAATATGCTTTTAACAAGGACAGCAAGTGCACGCTGTCAGAGCAGCAGGAAGAGATCCACCGGTACTCAGCTGGGTTCAGACTCTACTTGTGCTCAGCCTGGTCCAACATGGGAAGCAGCAGCCTTTCCATTGTGGACACACCGAGTTAGCTACTGAAAAGCTCTCTAGGCCAGTTGTGGCGACTGAACAACAGTGCTGCATTCTTCAGGCATCGTAAACAGGCCATGCACACACCACAGGATGGGCTGCTCAAGGCTACTTGTTGTCTCTAAGGTGGCTGTTTACAGCCAGCATGACACACTTCTATTTTCCACCCCAGGCGACGCGATGGTATTAAGAGTGTTGTGTACTCTGGTGCAAATTATACCTGAGCATCCCCCTGTCGTGGCTGTAACCCCAGAAAAAGGCAACAGGACCAGTCAGTGCAGGCAGGGCAGAGGTAGGAGGCTGTGCTCAGCAAAGCACAGCTGCCCACACATCTCTGCTGTCCTCAGCGTGGGGTGTCAGCACAGAACTGCATCACAAATGGCTGCTTCCAAGTTGCTCCTTCAACACAGCTGTGAGGAACAAAGTGGTTGATGCCTCTTTGAAGCCTCAAAAGGAGGCATGACAACAAGGTCTTAAGTGTTACCTTCAAAGCAAAGTCTGCATTATGGATGGGGTCTACAGCACATCCATCTACCTGTGATGAGAGCCAGGCCCAGGAAAGCTCCTGCCAACTGTTGCCATCAGGCCAATCCCCAGATTCTTCTCTCTCCAGGAGGTAACACTGGGCTGGAAGCCAGACAGAGCCTCTGGGGTGCAGTCCCAGAGCCAGAGATGCTGGTAACCCCTGTCAGCACAATGAGAAAACTACAGGGACCACAACCTAGCTCCTAGTGAACCCTATGAGCACTCCTTCCCCTACAAGGTTTGCAATGCCCCCCAACACATCCTTCTGCAGCCAAGCCAGGTTTGAGGGTCTCTGCTGCCAGACTCTCCACACTGACCCATGTCCCTTCATTGCCAAGGACACCAGGTAAAGTTTCCAGTCTTGCCCATCACATTCAACACGTTCTCCACCATTGCTCCCATGATTCCATTACTTTTTCCACTGCCCAGTCCTGCATCCAGTTTCATTTTACACACATCTTCACACCTCATTCCCTCCAGCAACATACAGCTCCAGTCACTCTGGCTTTGACCAACTATGCCTCAGCTCTCCAAACACTCAAAAATTCCTCCTTAAAAATGTCTTTTCCTTGTAGTGTTTCAGCAGCAACACAACCCTGCTTTTCCCCTTTCACTGAAGAAAGAAACAAACAGGCATTAATTCATTCAGCACAAGGGTTGGTTTGATCAGAAACTCAAGAATAAACTACACAAGAAACTGCAGCATACTTCAAGATACTACCACACGATGCAATAAACACTGATGAGAACAGAAGACAGATACTAATTGACAGTACACGCTCTAGATACTGGAGCTTAGATGTAGCCACTTGTTATCCCAAAGGACGTATCCTATACCAGCAACAGACAAGCAGCCTTGTGCCCCTGTGTATGTTGTGATGTGACTGGTGCCCAGCTATAAACCCACCAGCTCGTAGGTGAATTCTTTCTTTCTCCTTCCCCTTCACAGCTGCAGTGCTCACCTTCACCTCCCTGCTTCCTGAAAGCTCCCATGGCCCTTCTGCCTCACCAATGCAGTGGGAAGGGAAGAACTCATGTCCCTCTCTGCCACGCAGGGAAGAAGGAAGTCAATCTGCAATTTCCCTCTGGCAGAGGAGGATAGAGAGGCCGACATCAACTCCCCTTCCATACCATTTATAGAGCTGACACCACTCACAGCTGTCATCCTCACTCACTTCAGACCAGCGCAGCACCACACAAGGAAGGCTGTATCCACACTGCCTTCCTGCAACAACCTGAGCACCTCTACCAGCAGCATCCTGACGCCCCAGAGGGAGCACAGGCCCGCTGAAACAAAGAACACAGCAGCCAACCCACCATCTCCTGCATAACCCAAGTGCACTTTGCCTCTCAAGATAATGCAGCAGGCACACAGCTAAGCACTGCCTAAAGCTGACAGTGAATCACTAAGCCAGAGAACGGCTTAGTTGTGGAGGTCAGCTGCCCAGCCCTCCCACTCAGCCAGCCTCACAGTCCGCCCATCCATCCCACAGCATCAACAACCTGTTTATGAGGCTGTTATGGGGGACAGCGTCAAAAGACTTACTGAAGTCCAGTTCAGAGAAGGCCAAAGAAAGACAAGGAAGGTCAGAAACTGAATAAAGAGGGTCAGAAAATGGAATAGTGTGTAGCAGTTCCAAAGAAGATCCCAAAACACACCACCACCATCTCAGTCATACTACTCTCCAGTGACCGTGAATGAACCGTAGGGGCAGAGAATATGAACAGAAGGAGCCAAGATGAATTTTATTAGCTGCCCATTTCCACGTAAAGATAAAAACAACAACAAAACAACAACCCCTACCCACATGTTTGTGCTAACAAACTCTGCCAAACCAACCTGCTTAGACCTAAATAACTTTGCTTTTTGGACTGAAAAGATCCATTTGCCTCCTTTGGTTAGGAATTTCAATTCAAATCCACAAACTCCTAAAATATCATTATTAAATCACTTCACTGTGGGCTTGTAAAACTCAGAGTTCTCCCTAATTAAGTCTCACCTAGAAGAGCCTATTTTACACTAGCTCCCAATGACTCATCTCAGAGATGCACTGCCTGCTTCCTGGCATGAAAAAAACATTCCTAATGAAGAGTAACTCCAAGGCCACAAACAAAACAACCCAACTGATCAATGTGTGGTCATCAGTCTGACTTCTGTTCTGCCTTTGTGGAGGCCAGCAAAGGCAACAACACAACACAAAACAGGGCCTGTAAGTACCCTGTCCTTCCCATTAAGTATCACCATCACTTCCCTTTTAGGAAAGAGCAGAGCTAATCAGAGCCCAGAACAAGCATCACCCAGGAAATGACTCACTTGGAGGATTCAGTGTTCCTCCCTTCTTCTTGCCCTGTTATAGCCAATAATCCTGCTCCAGCTGTAAAGGGTTCCTGTTTCTCCAGCTGCTTCAACTCCACTGAGTCACTGCTCATCTCCAGATCACCTCTACCACATTATCACTAAAATACAGCATGCGCTTTGGAAATTCCACCATGCTGCTGTGATAAAGTTCTACCCCTCTGCTGCTATTAAAGCACAATTCCTTGATAACTTGGCACAAACTCGATTTTCCTTATCTATGGACAGGTGGGATGTGAAATTACAATCAGGTGAAACAAAGCACAAGCCACATTCCTGTTCAGAACTACAGAAAAATACCCTGTTAGCAGACCAGCGGGAGTTTGTAATGCCAGCATAAAGTATTACTTGAACGACACAGAGGAACACGGACTTACTGCCTGATCTTGTCATTTCTGGGTCCAAATCTTGGTCCGGAAGGCCCTCTCCTGCAATAGAAAAAGACATGAATTATGATAGCAGATGCAATGAAACATGCATTTAAATCAAAGACCTAAGATACACAATAGGGAACCATTTTCTGGTTCTCTTGCCTCCCACCCGTTCCTCTCATGTCCTTCAACATATGGAGCACCACAGTTTCCTACAGGTCACATTTCTTCTTTCAAGGCTCTGGGAAATCACAGAATGGCCAGGGTTGGAAGGGACCTCAAGGATCATGAATCTCCAACCCCCCTGCCACATGCAGGGCCACCAAGCTCCCCATTTCATACTAGACCAGGCTGCCAAGGGCCCCATCCAACCTGGCCTTGAACACCTCAGGGATGGGGCATCCACAACCTCTCTGGGCAGCTGTTCCAGCACCTCACCACTGCCATGGTAAAGAACTTCCCCCTGACATCCAATCTCAATCTCCCCTCCCTCAACTTAAAACCATTTCCCCTTGTCCTGCAGTTATCAACCCTTTCAAAGAGTTGACTCCCCTCCTGTTTGTAGGCTCCCTTTAGGTACTGAAAGGCTGCAACGAGGTCACCCCGCAGCCTTCTTTTCTCCAGGCTGAACAAGCCCAGCTCCCTCAGCCTGTCTTTGCAGGGGAGCTGCTCCAGTCCCCTGATCATCTTCGTGGCTCTCCTCTGGACCTTCTCCATCAGCTCTCTGTAACCTCAAAGGAAATAAGGGTGCAAGCTCCCACCTATTTGGCAGGGAGCAGCTCTTGGTATTTGGCACTACCAGTCTTAGTGCTTTAGGCAGCTGAAACATCATATGCCCTACATCTGTTTAGAAACTCACAAGAAAAAGTCTTCCTCTTCATCTGAATCCTCCTCTAAAAGGTTCCTCTGTGAACAAAGAAAAGCACCATCAATATCCGCCATTTCAGACGACCTTCCAGACTTCAGGACACCACCAGCATCTTCTAAGCACAGGGCACTGGTGAGCCCCCTCGTGAGAACAGCAGTGCTACTTTTCGGATAGCTGTGCTGTTTCCCCCCTGCAGAGATGCCTCCATGCAGTCAGAGCACCCAGGAGGCGTTTGCCAGCTCTGCAAAGCACAGACCGACGTCCTGAACCACAGCCGGGCAACACTTACAGCACCGTTCATAAACCAAAGCGTATTTCTACCAACTGGTCTATCTGTGCAGGTTCAGATCCTGACCCCGTGCGTCAGTAATGCACCCTACGATACAGCAGTAAGCAGCACTGCAACACAGCGGGCAGAATCTACACCCGGGCCAGCTATGGAAGCGCTCTGGGCCCAAGGGGTGACGCGCAGTGCCATGCCGTGACCAACCGCCCCGAGCATCGCAGGCACGCGGTAACGCGGGCCTACCACCGACTGCGGTGACAGCAGACATAAGGAGCACCGCGCGGCAGCACCCGGCCAGCCCTGCGCGGCACGCCGCGGCTCGGCCCTTCCGCCCGCAGGCTGAGCCGAAGCTGCAGGCGCCGCGGAGCGCGGCGAGCCCGGCCGCACTCACCCGCTCGCTCTTCACCGAGCCCGTCACCTCGTCGTCGTTCAGGTGCCGCTTGAACTTGGGCGGCATGATCCCCGCCGGCGGAGGGGGCCGGGAGGAGCGCCTGGAGGACGAGCACGGCCCCTCAGCGGGCTGCGGGCCGGGCCGGCGGCAAATGGCCGCCGCGACGGGAACCGGGCTGCGCCATCGACCGCTCTGCGCTCCGCCGAGAGCCGAGCGATCCACCGCGGGCGGGAGGGGCGTGGCCTGCGGTCGTGGGCGTGGCCTGCGGTCGTGGGCGCGGCCTGCGGGATGCCCGCCGACGGGGTCCCGGGAGCGCTGCCCGGCTAGCCGCGTGCGGCCCCACCCCGCGCCCAACTGCACCCAACGTTCCGCAGCGGGGAAATTTCCACCTCCCGGCCCCGGCTCGTTGCCCCTCGGCGCTTCTCCACCTGCTTTTTCTTCCCACTCTCCAACTCACAAAAGCGCGCTGTGGGACCCCCGTGCCCGGCAGCCGCGCGGCCCCGAGCTGACGATGGGCGCCGACAGGAGCGGCGCCGCCACGGGGGGCGGTGCGGGGAGCGGCCCCGGTGCCGGGGAGTGGCGCGGCGCGGAGTCCCCCCGTACGGCGCCCGGGGTCCCCCGGGGGTCCCCGCCGCCCCGGCCCCGGTCTCGCCTCCCCGCCGCAGCCCTGGCACGCGGCCGCGCAAATATTTTGGCCTCGGCCACCGCACGCTGCCGGAGCTTTGCCAGCGGGCGGCACGGGGGGAGCGCGGGGATCTGGAAGGTTCCCGCGGCCCTATAAAGGCGGGCGAGCTGCGCGGGGCGGTGAGAGGGATCATGCCGGGTGCTTGGCTGCTGCTGCTGCTGGCGGGGGGCCTCGCCCTGAGCGCTAGCGGGGACCCCACGGCCCAGCTGCGGCGCGGCAACGATGCCAGCGGGCGATGTACCTACAGCTTCACGGTGGCCAGCCCCGGCGAGGCCAGCTGCCCCGAGGCGGGCGGCGTAGCCCAGCTGCGCGAGGAGCTGGCCGCGCTCACCGCCCGTCTGAACCGCCTGGAGGGAGCGGGAGGTTTGGGGGGCTCGGGGCCGAGGGGGGCTGATGTGAGTGGCGTGTGGTCGCGAGGCCCTCAGCGAGCGGCCCCGTGGGGCTGCGAGGAGCTGCAGCGGGCCAAGGAGCGGCTGGAGGAGGAGAAGGGGAGGTTGGAGAGGGAGAAAGAGGAGCTGGGCCGGCGGCTGGAGAGCAGCGCCCAGGAGATCACCCGGCTCAGAGCCACCCGCTGCCCCTCCGGCACAGGCGGGGTGCCTGGCCGCGACACCCCGCGCTCTGCCAGCAAAGGTCAGTGCTGGGGGATGGGAATCTGTGGGCATCCCCTCCTCACCCCAAATCCTACATCCTCCCCACGCCATCGGGTCCCTTTCTCCCCCCCCTCCACCCTGCAGCCCATGCTCCCACCTGGGGCATCTGCTTTCGCCCCTTAGAACAGTGCCCACCCACTGTAAGGAACAGTGCCTGGCCTGGGGACCCCCGGACCCTCTTCCCGTCTCCATACCTGGGCTGTTTGCTGGTCACCTCGGCGTGGGGAGGACCACACGAATCTGGGGTCCCTGGGATTCACCCAAGGGAAATAAAACTCCTGGGGAGGGAACGACAGGGTCGGCAGTGTCCCTCAGCCCTGGGTCACCGATGTGCCCCAGCTCGGGGCACCAGGCTCCTGAGAAAGACGTTAGCATTTTTGGGGGGTGGGGGCTCGGTGCTGGGGTTCACCTGGCTGCCTGGACCCCCCGCAGCCTCCAGGTGGGAACCGGAGCCCCTCAGCTACCAGGAGCTGAAGTCGGAGAGGACGGAGCTCCCTGCATCTCGGCTGCTGGAGGAGACGGCGCTCGGCCGCCCGCGAGCTGAGGACTCGGGTACAGCCCTGGGACTGGGCTGGGGGGCCTTGGGGCAGTGGTGTGGGGAATCGCAGGGGAATCAGGGAGAACTGGGGCTGGGGGAGCCCCGGGGTCCCGCGTGACCACGGCCCTAACGCCTCCCTGCTGCTCCCTCCTGCTGTCCCCACAGGCTGCGGCGAGCTGGCATGGGTGGGGGAGCCGGTGGTGCTGGGCCGGGCCGACACCATCGCCGGCAAATACGGGGTGTGGATGAAGGACCCCGAACCCGTGGCGCCCTTCACGCGGGAGACCACATGGCGCGTGGACACGGTGGGCACGGAGGTGCGCCAGCTCTTCCAGTACGAGGCGGCCGAGCAGCTGGCCCGCGGCTATCCCGCCAAGGTGCACGTCCTGCCACGGCCCCTGGAGAGCACCGGGGCTGTCGTCTATCGTGGCGGGCTCTTCTTCCAGCCGCGCCGCTCCCGCGCGCTGGCTCGCTACGACCTGCGGGCTGAGGCCATCTCTGCCGAGCGGGAGCTGCCTGGTGCTGGCTACCATGGGCAGTATCCCTACTCGTGGGGTGGCTACACTGACATTGACCTGGCAGTGGATGAGACCGGGCTGTGGGTGGTGTACAGCACCGAGAAGGCCAAGGGAGCCATTGTCCTCTCCAAGCTGGACCCTGAGACATTGGAGATCCGGCGCACCTGGGAGACCAACATCCGCAAGCAGTCGGTGGCCAACTCCTTCATCATCTGCGGGACTCTGTACACTGTCAGTAGCTACTCCGCACCCAATGCCACCGTCAACTTTGCCTACGACACGACCACCAGTACCAGCCGCAGCCTCAGCATCCCCTTCGAGAACCGCTTCCAGTACCTCAGCATGGTGGACTACAACCCGGCGGAGCGGCGGCTCTTTGCCTGGGACAGCTACAACATGGTGGCCTACCCTGTGCGCCTTGCCCACGCCTGAGTGCCGACTGGCCCCCGGCCTCCTGCTGACGCCTCCTGCGAAGAAATCCCTTTGTGCTCCATGAAACAAAGTGCTTCTCCAGGGCTGAGCTGTGCTGGTGGACACGTCCCTGTATGGCCTTTGTGGGTCTGAGTGGGTGCTGGTGGTTCCCAACCCTGCTCCAGCATCCTCCCAGCCCAGAGCTGGGAGCGGGCAGGCCTCATATGGGCAGGCTGCTGGCTGCCTTCCTGCTGGGACAGTGGGACTGGTGAGGGGGCACCTTCAGCCATGCTGGCCCTCTGTTGCCCAGGAGCCCCTGCACTGCCCCTATCCCATCTGGCCTCGTCTCACCTCGCCTCGCCAGCAGCTCTCCCATGCTGCTTCCAGAGCCCACATTTATCACTATTTATTGTAGAAAGGCTGTAGGAGGCTTGCTACCCCCTCAGCTTGGGGAGACGCTCCAATAAATGCTGCAGTATTAAATCAGAACAAATGTCTGAGTTTCAACTGCTAACCAAGCTAGAGATTTGCTTAATAAAAGTATTATTACAAGGTGCAGGGGGCAAGTTTGGGACTGGTGGGGGGCAGGTTTGGGGGACGGGAGTGTGCCGTGTTCTGTCCTTGCTGAGCAGTGCTGGTCATCTGCTGCCACCCTCAGGGTGGGGGACGAGAGCACGGTCCCGTTCTAGAATGGCAGTGGACAAGGGGATGCCACAGGCACCAAGGCAACGTGACTCCTACAACCAGGCAGCACACACGTCCTGCAATGCCGGTGAGTGCGGAGGGCTGGGGGCCAAAGCACCTGGCAAAACACCTGGGGTGGGGGGCTCTGCCTTAAGGGCCGACAAGGGATGGGGTGTCAGCTACACTGTCAACACTTGCTGCCCCTCTGGCTGCAGGCAGGCTCCTGGAGGCTCTGAGCACCCTTTTCCTCCCGCAGGCCTGCAGTGGGGCTGGGGCATAGCAGAACAGTGCAGGCAAAGGTGTCCCCCGGCAGTGATGTGCCCACGTCATCACCATGATGAAGCCTGGAAGTAGCACAGAGTCCCGTGACCTGCGGCAAGCTTCTGTCGCGTTGAGATGCCTCAGCTCCCTCTGCGTGGTGTCCAAGCCTGGGGAGGCCATATCCTGCAGCTCCCGCCACCTCTGTGCCACCCCAGGGCTGGCAGCCACTTCACTGCAGGACTACGGCGAGGTGGACCGGCAGCACATCCCCCCACTCTCCGTCAGCTACGCCGTCTTCTCCAGGGACGAGGAGCCAGACCTTCAGGAGGAGCCGGGAGCCTCCATTGCCCCCTCCATGGAGCCTGAGTGCTTTGAGGCCTGCAACACCTGCGTGCTGTGGAATGCCCGGCTCCATACACAGACCTGCATTGAGGAGCAGCCCACCGCCACCCTGAGAGAAGCCGAGCCCAGGGCTGAGGCCTTCCCGTGGCTCCCAACAGCGCAGTGCAACAACTCCGCCATCGACCGCAGCCCCATGCCTGCCCTGCACACCTGCTGGGCGCTGTATGAGGGCCGAGAGCTGGGCCGGCAGGGTGAGGGGATGCAGTATAGGCCCAGCTGCCAGCAATAAACTTCAGTCCATCACAGCACTCCTGGCCTTGGGAACTGCTGTCCGCACCTCTAGGGCAGCCCTCTGCCTCACTCTGAAACCCATCCTGGGGATGAATAGCCTGATGGAGATAGAACTGAGGTGGAAGGGACCCCTAAAGGCCTTAAAGGCCATCAGGTCCCACTCCCCTGTGATGAAGGGGGACACCCACAGCTCCATCAGGTGCTCAGAGCCCATCCAGCCTGACCTTGGCTGTCTGCAGGGACGGGACACCACTCGATGTCCCCAAAGCTGAGGTGAGAGGCATTGCAGGAGCTCAGGACCACAGAGTTGGGGTGGAGGGGCCCATGTGTGCTTGCTCCTCCCCACTGGGATGAAGGGATGGTTTGTTCCCATGCACTGTGGAGCTCAGGGAGCAGCACAAGGATCAGACGGACCGAGCCCAGGAATTCAGGCCTCCCATTCCATGCCAGCACCGGGGGCTTTTCAGGCTGGGAAGTCCGTCATTTAATTGACTAAGAAAATAAATGAAGACGAGCCAAGGTACACAGGATTTCCAGAAAGCCGGGCTTGAGCTGAGCAGCAGTAAATACACAGATTGACTTAGCACGCTATTCAAAGCAAGCACAGAGATTCCCTCCCCTCCCAAAGCCCAGTAGAAAGATTGAGCTGAGCAGAGCTGCTGGCTCCGGCCCCACTCACACCAACCCCTCTGCTCCTGTCTTTCAGAACAGGTCATGTCCTAATTAAAAAAACAGCGAGTTCTCCAAATGAAATAGCTTCCCAA